TAAAAGTTAAATATAATTATTCATATGAATAAAAAACTAAGTATAAATTTATCCAAAGTAAAGTAAAAATAGAATATTTTACATATAATACGTACAGGTGCGTATTATGATAATCGAAAAATCGATTAATCATAAAAATTTACATCGCATCAATAAAGTATCTACACTAAATACATGACATTGACTCTTATCAGTGTAAATACTTAACCTATTTATACCCAATATAAAAATATTATATATAAAATTTCTAATATTCATTTTTCTGCAACCGATTATCTAACGATCTAAATTAATTTAAAAAATTTTTTTTTTTTTTTTTTTTTACAGTAGTTCTATCCTAAATTATTTACGATAGGTTGTAATTCTTTCTTAGACCGAAATTTTTTTCTGAAATTTTTATGAAGATTTTTTTTTTTTTTTCAAACTAAAATTCTTTGTTGGGTGACGTCATCCAAAATTTCGTTGAATTTTTTTTTATTACTTATGAATTATTAATTATTAACACTAATAAAAAAAAAAGACTTAGTTACTATTCGCATTATTATTGTTTTTATTTATTTGGTTGTTCCCGACCTCTATATTTTGATAATAAACTTTCTTACATTAAATTTTTTGCTATTGATTATATTGATCATGCGATCATCATGCATATTTGTATTTCTAAGCTCCGCTTTATTTAAAATTATTTAAGGCAAAAATGATGATTATAGACTATTGTTTAAACTATTTTTTTTTTTTTACTTTTTTTTTTAAAAAAACAAACTTACTACGTGACGCAATAGTTTTTTTATCGAGATCACTTTCGTCAGAGTCATATGATATTTAATTTCTCTAAATCAGAGTAAAGATGACTCATATATCAAACTCTCACAATATAAATATTAGACATATCGCGTGATAAGAAAAATAATATAAAAAGGGACACCTTCCTAACAAAAGAGACACCACCTAATAAAAAAACTCTTACAAAAAAAGCTCTAACAGACAGGAAACAACTGTCTGTTGTTTCCGAGTTTAAACTCTCCTAACAAAAAAAAAAAAGATGACGCTAACTCTAACAGATAGGAAATGTTGTTTCCGAGTTCTAAACCCTCCTAACAAAAAAAAAGATGACGCTAACTCCTAACCCGAAAGTTTATGATGTTCACTTTAGCGCTCTTGAAGAAATTAAACAAATAATTTTCGTAATTATCAAGAACCATTTTATAAATTTTGTATTATACTTCTCAAAATAAATAAATAATTGAATTTTATCTCTTCTTTCCTGACTTTAAAATAGAAAGAATTATCTCGGGTTTAACAGCTTTAAAGAGTTGCAAATAGATGACTGGAGCCCATCGTACGAGAACCCACTTCAAGGTTATATCTTTAACTTTAAAAGTGAAGCCTTGGTTAAGGTACCTGAATATAAGTCATCAGGTTCAAATTCACCGTCTTGAAGATATGGTAGTTTGTCTCAAGAACCCATTCAACAAACCTTTAGCACTCGTTGGCACCCGAAAAACAATTTGTTATCGGAAAAAACTTTACGCGGAATCACGTGACTTCTAATAACTGGTGCAACGACTGCAACGTCACATTATTTCTCGTCATCCCTCTTCCGGACCTCCATTTTTATCTAATATAGAGGTATGTCGAACCATTTTTCGTAAAGCTAAAGAGAGTGGGCTTTGCCTGCCTCTTTCTGGTGAAGGTGAACAAGTGGATGCAATGATCAAGGAAGTTATGGCAACCTTGCGAGCTGGCAGGTCTAACTATGATAACTCTGTTAACTGACGGACCTGGCTGAGAGATACGGATAAGATCTTCTCAGTGTTGAGGTCTACTGTTCCGCAATGAGGAATAGTTATGTGCCTTCCTCAACTTCTTTCATGCAATGATTTGTTTTCATTGAGGACTTTTGGATTCAGAGAACTGGAAGCGCTTCGTGGCCACAGTTTTACTGTGAACGTCCTTCTCTGTTTTCAAAATTTCTGGATGATAACAAATCTTTGTGTGTCCAGGAGAGATGTCAGCGAAAGGACACAATAACCTAAAGCTGTGTTTTTGTAAGTTCTTTCAAACAGATACTTGTAGCTATACCTTTTATTGTGCAGTTTTCAGGAACGGACGGTGAAAATATCGACACTAATATATAGGAAGAAGATCCGTACTGCTTCTTTATGTTACTTGATACTTTAGAAGGATACTGCCTCACGTCACCTACCTGATGGCGGGACGAAATTTTTAAGTAGAGTACTTAGCAAAAGCTAACCATCCCTTTTAATTTATAGATGTCCCACAAGAAATGTTAATTTATAGGGACCTGTGGAATGGCATGAGCGGAAAGAAATGCAACAAAGAGAATTCCACTTCAAGAAATTAAATTGGTTCTTATTGTTACGTTCACATACTTTTTTCGTAAATTATGCATCAATTTTTCTAGGAAATTTTGAAGTTGAGGTGTGTGAACAATATTAAAAAAAGATCTTGTTAAGAAAAACAACAATTTTATTATTTACGCCTATAGTATAAGTATATCGTAACCTGTAATCATCGTAATCACGTGATAATAATAAATTATTCATATAATTGTTCTCATAATACCAAACAATAAAAGAATTTTGATCTTTGGAAAATTTCAGAAATAGGCCAGACTAAAAAAAAGTTAAGCTGATTTTTTTTTCTAGTTCAGTGCCAAGCTTCTGAAAAAAAATACATATATATACACAAATGCATATATTTTTAAAAAAATTCTATATATGTATAAAAAAAAATTCTTTTTTTTTTGTCGTTAACTGAACAATAAAATTTAAAATCAGGCTTTTACCATTTTTGGTGACTGTCAAATGTAAAGGCGTAAAAATCATTTGTAAATAATAATTCAGAAAAAAAAATGCGCGCATGTTTGTGTTACTAAATTGGATTCTAAAATCCTATTTTAGTTAATTTCGGGGATGTATATCATACGTCCAGGATTAGTTTATCCCTTATTGTATATTTTAGGAATGTGAAGGGAAAATTTTACTAAAAATACAGTAAATCTAGATTAATAATATATTATTATTAAGAATTCAACTGGTCAAAAGCTTTGCGAAAAAAAAATATAGTTTTCTTATTCGGTGATGACGAACAAACTGATGATAAAGGCTTTCAAGATAGTAATAAAGAAAAAACTGAAGAATCTCAGAATAAATTTATTAAGGTTCAAGGAAGGAAGATGCACGAATTTGAAAAATAGTTGATTGGGGAAGATATTAGAAAGATCGAACTATAGGTAATGATGAATTTTCTGAAATATATTCAGCAGTATGGAAGGATGGTCCATTATATTATATTATAATAACGATAGATATGAATTCAAAAGAAATCAAAACAAAAAGGTTAATTTAAAACGTCTAAATAGCTCTCAAAATATTACTAATGAGGTATATAGTTTAAATAAATTAATTTGTATACATTTTGTATATTAATAATAAATTTTTATATTTTAATAGGTTAAAGTATCTATAATTAAAACATATGGAGTAACTCAGGATTTGGATACGAAAGATTATATTATAGTCTTTGAAAACGAATGCTACTGTGAAAAATGTGGTAAAGAATTTACAGATATAAATCTTAAGTGGTGTAAAACATGCCAAGTAAATTATTTAAAAAATATTACAATTTGGACAAATGAAAATGGAAAAATTAAAAATTTAATTCGAGAAATGCAATTGAAAATTAATAAACCATATTATATAGTATTCGAGTGGATTCCATATAATCAATTTAGTAATATTGAAGAAATAGGCACTTTTGTTAAGGTGTATTCAGCAACATGGAAGGACGGTCCATTACATTATGATAGTGATAAATACGAATATATAAGATATCAGAATGAAGTAGTTGCTTTAAAATGTTTATATGACTCCCAAAATATCACTAATGTATTTCTTAATGAGGTATGAAGTTTTTATAAATTAATATAATATATTTTTAACTGGATAATAATAGCTTTTTTTTATATTTTATTAATAGGTTAGATCATCTTCAATTAACCATTATTGCAATAACAGTACTACAAAAATATATGGAATATCTCAAAATCCATATACAAAAAATTATATTCTAGTTTTTAAATATTGTGAAAATAATGATAGTAATGATAATAATGAAAATTATGAAAATATAACTATCAAAGATAGTTATGTACTTGCAAATTGGATTAGTGAAAACAATGTACTAACTACAGTAAAAATACTTACAAATTGGATTAGTGGAAATGAACAAATCGACTATTTAATTCAAGAAATGCAATTAAAAATCAATGACCTACATAATATAGTATTTGAGTGGATACCATATGATGAGTTTAATGACATTAAAAAAATGGATGAATGTAATTTGTCCGAAATATATTTAGCAATATGGAAGAATGGTCCATTATATTATAAAAACCAAATTGGTTTTGGTAAAAATATATATACGAGAAACCAGAATAAAGAAGTTGTTTTAAAATGTTTGTATAACTCTCAAAATATTACTAATATATTTATAAATGAGTTATGAAAATTTCCAAAAATTTAGTTTATGTACTTTCTAATTTTACAATAATTTTTTTATATTTTAACAGATTAAATCATACTACATAACTTGTTAATCATGATGATATTCCTAAATTATATGGAATATCCCAAAATCCAAATACAAAAGATTATGTTCTAGTTTTTCAATATTATGAACCAGTTATTAAAAACAAGCATATAATAATAAAAATACTTACAAACTGGACTAGTGGAAATGAGAAAATCGATGATTTAATTAAAGAAATGCAATTGAAAATCAATAAACCAAATGATATAGTATTTGAATGGATTCCATATAATCAATTTAGTAATATTAAAAAAATAGGTGAAGGAGGCTTTTCTAAAGTATATTTTGCAACATGGAGAGTTGGTTTATTACATTATGATGGTAATAAGTATGCAAGAAAACGGAATAAAAAGGTTGCGTTAAAATGTTTATATAAATCTCAAAATATTACAAGTAAATTTTTAAATGAGGTATGAAATTCTCCGTAAATATAATTTACATACTTTTTTTTAATATAATAAAGAATAATTTTTATATTATAATAGCTTAAAGCATATTCAATTGAAAATCATTATAATTATTACACTAATAGGATTCTTAAAATATACGGAATATCTCAGAATCCAGATACAAAGGAATTTATTATGGTTTTTGACTATGCAGAAGGTGGAGATTTAAATCATTGGATGAATAAAAATTATAGCGATTTTGATTGGTTAAGGAAATTACTTTTGTTGTGGAATATTATTAATGGACTTAGAGAAATTCATCAAAAACGGATGGTTCATCGTGATTTTCATACAGGAAATATACTATTAATTAATGATGATGTAAAAGATTACATGGATGATAATATTGTACATATTTCAGATATGGAATTATGCGGAGATGTTAGTAATATTGATCAAAATAATAATTATGGAGTTATACCTTACGTAGCTCCTGAAGTGCTCAAAGAGGAACCTTATACTCAAGCAGCGGATGTATATAGTTTTGGTATGATTATGTATTTTGTAGGAACTGGAAAACAACCTTTTTCTGATTGTGCGCATGATCAATACTTAGCAATAAGCATATGTAATGGAAATAGACCTGAAGTAAATGAACCAGAAATACCAAAATGTTATAGTAAATTAATGAAAGAGTGTTGGGATTCAACCCCAGACGATAGACCAGATGCGGAGAAAATTTTTGAATCAATAAATTTATTTTATAGTTCATATAAAGATGATGAATCAGACTTTAAACGTTATATGAAGATTGAAAAAGAACAACAACACTATGAAATTGAAAAACAATTCAAAGAAGCAGAAGAATATAGAATATCAAATCTCTCTTCTTTTGATAAAAGTATTAATACTCATACACAAGCTATTTATAAATCTCGATTACTTAATCCTTTCACCAAAAGTCTAATTATTGATTTTACAAAGTAAGTTCATAGATTTTTAAATTTGATAATTATTATACTTTATTAATATGAAATTTAATTCTTTATACAGAATAAATAAAGAAGATTAAACGCTATTAGTTTTTAGCATGAGTCAGTATAATAAATCTTTAGCTTATTGTTAGCTATAAACAATATTTTTAGTTTTAAATTATTTACGTGTAAACTTTATTTTTTTTACATAAATAAAATCAGTTTAATATTTTAATTATTTTAGCACTGTAAATATATTTTAACCATAATTTATAATGCCGTAAATAAATATCCAATAATAATTTTGTATTATTCTTAAGATCGAAATTTAATAAATTGGTGTGTGTAATCAATGATAATTTTTAATAATAAAAAAAATAATGAAATATGAATTTTTACGGATGGCGGCTTTTATTTATGGCAGTTAGTGTATGAATAATTAAAATTTCAACCTCACATGGCAATCTTTAGTGATTGTACATATTTTGAAGTGAACAAGAGTTGTATAGTATTATTTAAGTCTTCTTTTATTCATGTTGCTACTTGCGTACAATTGGTCACACTAATTCTTTAAAAACATCTAAACATCTAAAAATCACAAAAATATATGTATTATGATCTAACAAATCACTTTTCAGCCACGTGATCACGCGATCAGAATTTTAGAACAAACCAATCAAAATGTTTATTATCTTGTTTTATTAGTTCAGTTAACATAACTAATAAAATTTATAATATCATAACAACAAAAAATGTAAAAGTAATAAATTGAAGTGTTACGCCGTAACAACAGTGTTTCTTTAATATTCAAGATTCGCACGTATAAATAATATTATGAGATAATTAAATCGAAAAAGAATTGAAAAAGATAATTTTATATTTCATGATGTAATATATAAAAAAATTTCCATAATTTTCCATATCATTTTTGTTTCACACTTAATTAATAGAAGGCAACTTTTCCCTATTCAAAATATCTTTTATGGTATATTTAAGTAATTACAGAATATGATGTAGATAAAAACTGCTAGGATAATATTTTTGTTATAAGATAACAAGAAACGTTAATAAACGTTTCTAATTAAAAATTGAATATTAAAAAAATATTGAAGCTCCTCCACTTACCTTTTCAGTTCATAAAAATCGTCCGGCAAGTAGAGACCTAAAATAAAAAAATGAAAATGGGTCGTTGGTAGGTAGAGGATAGGAAACCGCTTTGGTCACTGCATTTAATTTGCGACCTATGAAAAAGGAATATCCGGAAAATATCAATGAAAGTGTCCGAAAATTGTCCAGTATTTCAAAAAATTGTCTTGAAAATGATTTACCTTTGTTGTCCGGAATTTTTTCATGTCCAGGGTTTGTCCAGTTTTTTTGTACATGAAGAATTCGGGACAAATTCTAGACAAATAAAACCAACAAATTCCGGATATAAAAATTTCAGAATATTTAATTAGACATATTCTAGAAATTATTTCTAAAATAGAAAAAATTAAATTAAAAAAAATTCAAAAAGCTCAAAACAGATGTTTAAAACCTCCCCCTGACGTAGATAGTGGTAATCTGCCGGGCATATTCCAAACATCCGGAAACGCACACGTTTTGGAACATTTTCCGAAGTTCAGGATGAGTTCCGGATGCATTTTTTTTCGTAGGGCGATAGTCTACACATAGACGTTTATCGCCTCCAATAACAACAGGTGAGGCGCTTTATAACATTTTTCCCAACACGTTACATTTCTCTCGTTATAACGAGTCAGCCAATTAAATTCTCTTAAATTCTTCGCTACAATCTTATAGCGAATTTGAGGAGGATTGGGGGCTGACGATAAAATAATTTAAACACATTCATCTCTAGTTCGCTAAATTTAAAACTGCGTGATGCAATGAAGAAACCTAAATACTGTATAAATGGAATTACATATGGCTTTACGTTAAGAAGATTATTTTAAAAAATATTTTTAGGAAATAAAAAAAGACTTACTGTCGTGTTAATAATATGAATTAAATAACATGGTATCCCTGATAGAAAATTATTTAGTAAATTATGAATAAACTCGAATAATTTACTTCTATCTTTAACGTGACAAAACAATCTGGTATATATTATATATGTATATTTATAAAATTAAGGTATATATAATCAAAGTATGAAATTTAATAAATAATATGTAAAAAATAAGTAATGGAGTAGTGGATAATGAGAAGTGAGAACGGTATAAATATTATAAATATCGTCGTCATTTATGCTGACGTCGATCAACTAACAATTGAAACATTTATTTGTGGGAAGCAAATCATCAAACACTGTGGTGTGCTAGTAGTGTACTACGTATAACAAACTTATATGCAGTTTTGTTTTGCTCACATTTCTTCCATAAACTCTTTCCGAGTTCTTTAAAGAATTTTATATCATATGGATTATATTAAAGTTTGTAAAAAGCTTAAACTAAAAATTATATTAAGTGCTATGTTTTCAAAAGAGTTGAGGGAATTGATTATGCTTAATGGAGTATGTCCTGATTGTAAAGAAATTAATACAGGTTGGGCATGGTGCAACAAATGTGATCCAGGTCGATTTTTAAAGGAAGGAAAAACAAGTGGAAATCCTGATTTTGATAAATTAATACATGAAGCTCAACTTGAAACAAGAGATTATGGTGACAACACAGAATGGATACCTTTTGAAAGATTAAAAGATATTAAACCTATTGGAGAAGGTGGTTTTGCTACAATTTATTCTGCCACTTGGTTGGACGGAATTCCTGAATATTTATCTAAAAAACGTCGTAGTGAGCCTCAAATAGTCGCACTTAAAAAATTTAAGAATTCAAGAATTATGATTGGAGCATTTACTGATGAGGTAAATATTATTTTTTAATTATTAATTTGATGATTTTATATATTTATTTATCATTCTTATGTTAGATAAAAGTACATGTTAAATGTTCGGGCTGTATGGTTCAAAAATTATACGGAATAACAAAAGATCCGAAAACAGACGAATTTTCTATGGTTATAATGTACGCTTCAGATGGAAATTTAAGAGATTATCTTAAAAAAAATTTTTCATCCTTAAAATGGGAAGAAAAATTACAAAATTTATGGTATATTATAGATACTCTTGGAAAAATCCATGACATAAATTATATTCATAAAGATTTGCATAGTGGAAATATACTTATGTATAAACCTAATGTTGATGATTTGAGTGGCACGATGATTTCGGATTTAGGACTTTCACAATCAATATATGACTCAAATAATTCTACAAATGTATGTGGAGTATTACCTTATATAGCACCAGAAATATTTAATGGTAAACCATACACAAAAGCAAGTGATATTTATAGTTTTGGCATTATTATGGTAGAAATGTCTACTGGAAAACCACCCTATGGGAATATATCACATAGCGATGATCTTGCATTAGCAATTTGCGTTGGTTTAAGACCAAAAGTTATTAGGGGAACTCCAAAATGTTATATCGAATTAGTTAATAAATGTCTTGATTCTGATCCAGAGAAAAGACCTTCTTGTAATGAATTATTGAGCGTAATATTTAAATGGAATTTGGAATTTATCAATGGAAAAACAGAATCAGAAATTGTAAAAGAATTTTCTAATGCAGATGCGATTGTTTCACGAGAATATTCTTCTAATGAGATTACATTACATCCTGAAGCAATTTATACAAGTCGTCATATGAATTTTCGTAATCTCCCTAAATCGAGAAATTCTTTAGGAGTTCAAGTTGAAAATTCTGAATGTAAATATTATATATTTTAAATTACTTAATTTATATTTAATTAATTAATTAATTAATTTTAAATCTTCAATCGTTTACAGTTTCTGATCCTAATTTGCTTGAAAACTTTATTTATGACGCTGTTAAAGAACAAAGTCAAGGTATATTATTTAAAATATTAAATGTTAACTATAATATTAAAAATTATTAATACAGTATTTATTTTTAATAAAAAAATTTAGATAAGATTGAAGTAGAAAGTACGAACGAATAACAACAGAATAACAAATATACGTTAAAAATAAATTATAATGAATAATTATAGATCTCTTATTATCATTAAAAATGATAATTTAATTGCAATTACACATTATTATACATTCTAACAATTAATTATAGTATCCAAAAACACATCTTTTGAGAAAAAGTCCGTCATTGTAATAATAATAAAATTATACGTTTATCTTAAATTTCAAGTTTCAAGATAATTAATTTATTTTATTTTTAATTTTATGTATACATATCGTCATAGTACAGTTTGGTGAGTAGCGCTGATGTCATTAGACTTTTAGAAGTGATGTGTAACAACACGTCTAAAACCTTGTTGTTACACGAATATTAATTTACCAAATTTGGTAAAAGATCTCGATGACATAATGATATAATGATATAAAGGACGCAATTATTTTAACAACGTTGTTCGACTAGTTTCTTCGTTTCTTCCCAGGAAAAAAAAAAAATTTTGTGATAACAAAAACAAAAAGAGAGAGATCAAAAAGTTATTATCCCTTATTCTTTTAACCAACTATTCTTTAAACTCATATCATAAAAATGACTTTTTTGAAAAACATAACATATAATGAAATTATTGAAGGAAAAAAAATCTTAGATATCTGCGAAAGAAAACTTGAAAAATTTAGCTTTATGGATAATAAAGATTTTGAAAGTCCAGGATTAAGAAAGTTTTTGTTGGTTTCTAATCTATCTAATCTCGCCACGAATATCATAAATTCAGGAAAAGGTAAAATAAGATCTAGGAATATATATACATATATATATATTTTTTTTTAAGAAAAAAGATCTTTAGATGAAATCCTTTTAACGATTATAATTATTTTTAATTTCAAAGAATATAACTTTAGGGATAATAATATAAAACAAAAACGAGATGATAGATATATTTTGAAGCCGAATATATTCGATGGTTTTAATGGATACAAGACGCGAGATAATACAAAAAATATCCAAAATTTTGAATACAAGACTACAGACGTAATCAATCCAGATTATGATGATGATGAGGAATTCTTAGATGATTTTTATGAAGAAGATGAAGAGTTGTCAGACGATAATACTGACGATGATGATGAATCTTCGCAAGAAATTTATGTTATCACAAATAGCAGCTATGATAACAATAATAATGGTTATCATGATACTTCAGAATGTTACGAGAATAATGAAAAGGAAGAAGATAGGAACGCAAATTCTTATTTGGAGGATCTAAGATTCGCCGGTCATAATTATGAAAAGATGTCATCGGTTGTTGTGTCAGTTGCATCAAAAAATATCCATGAGATATCAGTTTCAAGCCACTTGGGCAAACATAGTCTTAACTTTGATGAAGAAATTATTACAAGCACAGTGGCTTATAAGAAGGCTAAGCATATCTAACTTAACACTGAACAAACGTATTAGTATTCATATATTTATCGGTAACATTGGGTTATTAGGGTTTTTGTTTCCTTGTTGTGTATCCTATATTTTATAGTTGGTAATACTGGACTTTTATATATATTATATACGCATATTATATGATAATAAAGTGGATAAGAATTTGTGGTAAAATCAACTTTTGTGAAAAGAATTCCCGAAAATGTTGATGAAAATGTTCGGAACATATAAAACTTTTAATAAACAAATAAACATACTCGGGATAACTTCTGATATGAATTATCATATATTGGATCTAAAGCCGTTCGTGGAATTAGAGGAATTAGAGCTGCAAATTACGTGATGCAAATATTTATAGTTCGATAAGAAATTATTCAATTTTCATTTCAATTACATTTACAAATGTTACATTAATTTGCAAAGAAGTTTGTAATAACTTAAAATAACATTATTAACATTAGCAAATATAGTCTGATTTAATAAGATTCAACTTAGGGAATTCATATTATGATATCTCTTGTGTTTAAATAATTCAATTTAAAATAATTTTATCAAATAATGTAATTTTATTGTTAGAAAATGGAAGGCATTAAGCGGCGGTAAATATTGATTCAAAATTCTATACGTCAAATGCCGACACTTGGGAATCTGGCAGTATTACTCAACTTCATGAGAACCCCTTATGTCTCATTCCAGGCATCAAAAATAACCTAAGAAACAAGATCTACTACCAGAATTCTGATCTATCAGGGAAAGGTTATATAAGGGCCGGATTATATGATAGATGTCATTTTTACTTTTTTCCCTTCGTTTAGTCCAATGTTTATTTAGAAATTTTGTTATTTACTGAGTTGATTTTATTGATTTCAACAAATATTGCGCCAATATTAGAAATGCAGACGTTACTGACGTAATCATATAAAAAAAAGGTTACGGCGATAACATGTGTGATAATTTTCATTAGTGAAGTAATCATAAAAAAAGGTTACGGTGTTGCGATAACATGTGTGAGAAGCTATACTACTCACTTGACGATCGACATTTTGATCATCAAGTAGTCATAATTTCGTGACTATGAGCGTGCCATGAAAAATAATAGTGATTCGACCTAGCTGAAATCAAATGTTGAAATTGTTTTAACATTTATTATTTTAATTTTAGCTAGATGTTACAATTGTTAAAAGCTATAATAAAGTTTTAAATGATAGTTTAGTATAAATTAACTTTTGTCTACAATATTTGATAATTCCAATTTTAAGTAAAATCTCTGTAATAAAATTAAATTTTTTGTTGTTAAATTTCTATCATCATGAAATCTTATAAAAATAAATGCCTCATTTTTCTAAAAAAAAAAAATCTAGACATGTGATCAATTTTCTAAAAAATCTTTTTATCAACAACGTTAATTATAATTCTGGTAAAACCCATCAGTTAAGCCTTTAAGCCGTTAGGACTTTATATTATAAACTCGTCTTATTCATATCCTAAAATTACAGTACTTTCTATCATTCTACATTCAATTCTTTTATGTCAAATACGCGCCCTACTTTGAACAGGACTCTACTGAATGGTTCTTAATGGACTTTTTGGCAACTGAAACTTTGAAACTTTAACTTTCTTAGTTTCTTTGGGTGCCTTCAAAAGACTGATCGGTTGTCATCTTAACAAAATTCACAGGATATTCTACCAGCACGAAAGAAATCAAGCATGAATTTTGATAAATAAAATAACTAGTCAACTTATCAAAGAAGTGAGTTATTATACACTTTGCTAATAATCACCTTAATATATATATTGACTTTCATAAAGTTGACATTCTCTTTAGTTATCAAGGTTTACTAATTCTGGGTATGTATAAGGAACATGTAAAAATGTAAAACTCACCAATACATTATGGGACATCCTAATGTTTTAAAATCAAAAATCGAAAAAAAAAACATAAAAGGGATATGCATGAAACAGATTTAATTGAGAAATAAAGGTATCTTGCCCTCAAATTCAGTGATGGCAATGACCAGGTCATTTGACCATTTTTGAAATGACCCTTGAATGACCTATAACACGATCATAAGCTTTGGAGTTTGGACATGTCTTGAAATAGAATCCAAATGTTCTTATAGTTTTCTTTAGCATCCATCTATTAATTCGTTAAGAATTCGAATGGGTTCAAAAATTGATGAGTCATTCGAGTCATTTTTGTCAATGGAGTCATTTAAATATAATGGTGTATAATTCAGGCCAAGCTTATGATGCTGGCCAGAATTACATTTCTAATATCACGTGATATATTTTTTTATCCACGAAACATTGAAACTGCATAAATAGTTTTGATGAGATCGCATAACTGATAATGTAATTTTTAAATGACCAAATTGCACGTGGCTAATAGCGTAATTTGATGTCATTTTGCCTCAAAGTACATGCAAGGAGAGAGAAATTGAAAAAGAGTATAAATTTTTATTTATTTATTTATTTTATTTCTTAGAGTAGCAAACCAAGTCTATTACAAATAAAAGCAGATGGTATATTACATACGAAATAACTAATATATGTGTATAGATCTCAGAATGTCATAAAGTGTATAAATTTTTAAAGAATTTTGAGTTTTTTCTACTGAAACCTGAAACACAAAGATCACGTTTTTTTTTATTCAAACTTCTTAGCTGCTGTCAACTAACACAATATTAGTATAGTATAAATTAACACATTACACATCATCAAATGTATTTTCCAAAAGTTAACATTTCCGATAACTTTATTTTTTTTAATTTTTTGTTTTAACATTTCGGACTTTTTCGCGTTTGTTTAAAGGGATCAATATTTTAATAATTTTTTTTCATGGTACTAATAGTAAAGAAAATAACTAAAAAATGAAATAAATGAATGGTATAATGGTTTAACATATCTTTCTAATCGTGCAAAAATATATAACGAGTCTATGATAGCTTTTCTAATCTTTCTAATCGTGTAAAAATATATATCCTTTAACTTTAATTTCTCTACAATTCTTTTGACATGTTATCAGAAGAAAGTTTTTTGTCGAAAGTTCAACAACGCAGTAAGTGTGGTATATGTCTGATATTTATTAATAATAATATTCTTCTAATTTTTTTTGCCATTTCAGAATACTGGCAAAAACCATATACGAAGTGGAGCATTGAATCTTGGGATGCATTTTACTTTAAAGAACACCCTAATGCAACAATACGAAATTTGCGTAGTTACCTAGCTGGTGAACTAAGAAGTATCACAGAGAATTCAGTATCCAGAATAAAAGAGAAGGCACTAAAGTTTGTGCCCACATATTGGAGGTTAATGTTTACACATTCTCGGGAATGTGAGCATAGTATAATGTGCTACGCTCTGTCCCTTTGTGCATGGGAAGAAGAGCGTCCAGACACGAGTACCTGATCTCGTCGCTGCGACGTGCATATCTTGCTATGAGGCAGGACTGTTGATTCTCTAGGAAGATTGTCTATGTACTCCTATGTAAAAAATCTTACTCACATGATATGCTTTTCTTTGCATATTACTACAATCTACAGAAATCTGGGATAAAAGAATTCATTAAGCAGATAATTATTTCTTAACTATGATTTATCATGTAACTAGTAATGTATGCTTAGCCGTCGTAATAGTAAAGGTTGTGACGTATTTATCGTAATTAAATCGATTATTTCTAATTTTGAAAATTGATCATTAATTGGTAAGATGCCAGATGATTTTTTACTACTGTACCAAGAAAATATTATACTCGCGATAATATTATACATGCAATAATATTATAAATGCAATAATATTATACATGCAATAATATTATTCTTGCAATAAATAATATACTTAATAATATTATACTTGCAATAATATTATACTTGCAATATGAGCTTGGCGAAATCGTGGAATTAATAATTTAAAATAATTATAATGCAAAATTTTACTAGTCGGCGGAAGACCTGTAACAGTTTTCGAATTTCTACGATAATTACAATATTATATGATGTTTTTAAAATTATAAAAGAATTTATTGTTCAATAAACTTATTGTACTCGCAAATTTATTAAAATCAGTAGAACAAGAGATAATGTAAGAAATCCTCCGTTTAAAATGTTAAATGTCTTGGGTGGTAGCTCAATTTCGTGACAATGGGAGTGATGATCTGATGTTGATCAATGGATTATCCGAAAAAATTCTTGAGTCTACATGCGTTTTATTACCGCTCTAGCATACCATATGTAAGTGCGTTGTTTCAATTAAATCTTTTAATAATTGTTAAAGCTAATAAATTATTACTTTTTAAGATACAAAATATCGTTTTAAATTTTGTATAATATTTTGCGCGATATTAGTGGTGCCGACATAACTGAAACCAAATACTAAAATTGTTTTATTATTTTAGGTTTAGCTAGTTGCATACAATACGCAATTTGATAACAATACATTCCAAAAAATTTGTTTTCATCATAAAATAATCATGAAACTCAAAAAATTTTTCTGAAGAAAACTCCGATAAATGCTTATTTTTCGGCATGTGATCAATTTTCTAAAAAATTTTTTTATCAACAATTATAATTCCGTTAAAACTCCATTAGTTCACTACGCGAATACATCTATCAGAATTAAGATTTTTAAGCCGGAATGTGTTATATGTGTTATACGGTATAGTGTATATAATAATATAATTCTGAAGATTATTTACATTATAGTTTTTTTAATTGTAAATATTATTAATAGGGAATAGAGATATCTAGAGATATCGGCCGAAGACCTGTAATCTACACGATACTAGTAATTAATAAATGCGTTACTAATTTTTTTTTTAAAAAAAAAAAAAAATCGGCCGAAGACCGTTACTAATACTGATTTCAATATTGGATATCTAATAACAATACCAGTCATTAAAATCCCGCATATTCCTAATCGACTGAACAATAATTTTATTATAATAATATTAATATAAATCGCATGAATCATACGCATCATACGCGTATCCAGATAAATTTGATGGTGGCAATATGATCAAAATTTTTTTGGGGGAACTACTGCAATTCCGTTAATATTGTCTACAGTATATTATGTCAGATTAATCCTTCTTTTTTCTTATTTAAAATTTTTTTTATTAACAAGTTTCAGAATATGTGTTTATTGGAACTTTGGTTCTCAAATTCTAAACCATGTGTATAATTTTACCATTTTAGCAATTTAGAACAACGTTCGTAACGCCTCAAATGATAAAATTTTCACTTGATACAAATATTCCGTTTTACATCAGGACCCTAAATAGGTAACAAGAGGGCTTAATATATAACTCTACGCATCTCTTCAGGGTCAAAGTTACATAAAGCCGCCTGGCATTGTTCAAAAAAGGAAGGATCTACATATTAGTTTAGGGTTCATTCTACGTATTGTTACCTTTTTATGTATTTGATAAATGATACCACGGGGATCTGCAAGAAACCGATTGTAATAAGGAATAATAGTAATAATAATATTTCACATTAATTATTTCATGGCGTAAGGGCTTGAAAATCATTGTTTTATAAATAATAGCCATTATTTATATATATGTACATATATATTATTTCTTTTAAAGAAAAGAAGAGTAACACAAAATTTTCATATTGTTTCATAGCTACCACGTGTGATCCTTACCAAAATCGGTTAAATCCATTTTTGATTGTTAATAATAAGAAAAAGAATTGTTGTAATTTAGAATGACACCTCATTTAGGTTACGCTTACGTCCTTGAAAACTTTCTAGAAATGGGACTATTTACTTGATATCATCTTTGATTTGTAACTTAAAACGTAATAATTGAAATATGACTTCAAATTCTCTTTCAAATTTTCTATCAAATAAAACAAATCTCAAAAAAGTTAAATTACTTTAAATCAAAAAAAAAAAAACTTCACAAAGACTAATAATTTTAAAATAACAAATCGAATCAAAATGAATCCAATCATCAATACCAAACCAGTTGTTATTGTCACTTCTGAAGTAACTGAAAAACCGGGTAATCCTACCAACTCATGTTCTATCATGTAAAACGCAAGTTTTACTTTGAAATTTACTTTGAAAAAAAGTTTTTACTCTACAATTGTTCTTTTTATTACTTCCGACGGATATAACTGAAGAACGGAATAATTCCTCTTATTTTACTGACCTGATGCTTATTATCTCCTTAACGATTTTTACAAAAATGAATCAATTTATTTTTTATTTTTTTTTTAATTTTAATTTATCTTGTAATTTATATGTCCGGAACGCAGTTCTAAATTCCCTTTATTAATATTATCCCAACTTTTATTAACTTTATAACACGTGATTTATAATAATAAGCGATGGGTTCGTTTACCTAGTTGTAAATATTTTTATCTTATCTTAATAATAAAAAATTTTGAATCGTAATCTATTAACAAATTTTAAATATGTGTATCGTTTTAAAAGTGTTTATATTAATGAATTTTCTATAAATTAAATCTTGAATTCATGATTTATATCATGAAAGAAATATTGATTTTTGACTTTGAAAATAAGTTGAATGAATGAAAGTTAAAATTGAGAAATGTAATCCTTAAAAGCATCAGCAGCGGCAGCAACAGAACCGGCGGTAGTAGAACTAATTTAATAAGTAAAGAGAAATTTTTGTACAGGCAAAATTATATTCAAATGAAAATATAACAATGATCGTATTGTTCTTTTCTATAAAAAAAAAAAAAAAATAATAATGAGAAAATACTGGTTAAGTAGAATTCATTTTCTTCAAGCAAAATAAAATTCAAAGTAAAAAATTAAACGAACATAAATAATGAATATTACACTTATTATTTATATTAATTTTAGCAAAATTATAATTAAAGTTAAAATCCAATGTAAATTTTCTCATGTCCCACGCTTTTATCATACTTTTTTTTTTTGTCCGGAGCGGAGCGAAGGACAATATATGTCATCTACGCACTATGAAAAAAAATTGATCACGTGAATTTCTCTGTCCGCCACGTGATCGTCATCCAATGAAATCGCAAATTTTAGTTTTTCGCTCTCGGACTTACAACGGTTCCCGTTTCCTAGTTTAATTTGTCATTATTTCTAGGCGCTTTAATAAATTGATCACATGTTTGAGTTTTTTTTTTTAGAGAATTTTTTATAGGGTTTCATAATGATAAATTTAGCAATAAAAATTTAATTAGAGATTTTTACTTAAAAATCCTCTATATTAATTATTATTATATAATTTGTTATCAAATATCAGATATATATTATATACAAATAATTACTAATTCTGGAAGAGAAATTAGTTATGTATAAGGAACATGTAAAACTTACCAATGCATTATGGGATATCCTAATGTTTTGAAATCAATTCAATCAATTCATAAAAAATCTAAAAAAGACATAACAAGGATATGCATGAAACAGATTTAATTGAGAAATAAAGGTCATGAACTGTATTAAGGAGAGAGAAAATTATCAAACATTTAAAAAGAGAGATTTTAGTTTATAAAATCTTAAGAATTTGAGTTTTTTTTTTTTTTACTGAGACATTTCTTTTTTTATTTAAAAGTCCTCGTGAGTTAAAATAATAATTTAATCCTTTTGATTTACATTTCGCAAGTCAAGCTGCTGTGATTTGAATCATATAAATTAAAATTGGTTTATTTGGATTCTAATTCATATGCTACTAAATTGATCATTTCTAATTTTGAAAATTTGATCATTAATTTGTAAAGATGCTAAATGATTTTTTTACTAGCAAGAAAATATTATTCTTGAAAATTGCAAAACATTATATTTGCAAATATTATATTTACGATAATATGAAATATTATAATGAAATGTTACTAGTTTACTAGTTGATGGAAGAACTAAAATTAGTTACATAACAGTTTTCGAATTTTCTTTAATAATTACATGATATCATTTTTTTTTTATTCAGGAAATAAGGTTAAATCTATTTTTGATTGTAATCCTAATTTAATAATAAGGATTGTTGTGATTTAGAATGACATCCTATTTTGGTAGGTTTACGTCTTTGAATACTTTCCTGAAATTGGTAAATGCATAAATCAAAAAGAAGGGGTCTATTTATTTTTGATTGGTAACTTAAAACAACAATTGCAATCGTATCAAATAATAATAATGAGGAAAAAAAAAAAAATTTAAACTCGAAACATTTAAGGTATCAAGATATTCCGATATAATCGGGTTAGAATTTTTAGTATTATTTTTGATATTCGTTTGTTTCGAAACATTATAAATATGACTTCGAATTCGCTTTCAAATTTTCTATCAAAATAAAAAATCTCAAATAAAAAAAAAATCTCAAAAAGTTAAATACTTAAATCAAACGAACAAAAAAAAACTCCACAAAAACTAATAATTTAAAAAAAAAATCAAATCAAAATGAATCCAATCACCAGTACCAAACCAATTGTTATTGTCACTTCTGAAGTAACTGAAAAACCGGGTAACCCTACCAACTCATGTTCTATCATGTAAAACGCAAGTTTACTTTGACCTTTTCTTACTTCCGACGGATAACTGACGAACTGAATAATTCCTCTTTTTTACTGACCTGGCACCTTATTATCTCTTAACGATCTACAAGAATGAATCGTAATTTATATGTCCGGAGCGACGGAGCGTAGTCCTTTCTATCATAATTCCCTTTTGGATTAAACTATTTCCTTTTAATCTTTGTATTTATTTGTAACATGTGATTTATAGTTACACGGATTCACAATAAGCGACGGACTTACTGTATATTATTTTATTTTATTTTATTTTAATAATAAAAATTTTGGATCGAAATTTGTTAACAAAATTTAAATATGTGTATCGGTTTAAAGTGTATATATTAATGAATTTTCTATAAAATAAATCTTGGATTTCATCATAAAGGAAAGATTGGTTATTGGCATTGAAAAAAAGTGAAATGAAAATTAGAATCTAAAGCTTAACTAACTAATTTTATAATAATTAATAATAACAGGCAGGATACGTAAAAGGAGAAATTTTCGTACAGGCAATATTTTATTCAAATGAAAATAAAACAATTGATCGTTCTTTTCTATCAAAAAAAAAAAAAAATTTCTTTAAACATTGTTGAAATAAAAAATCTATTGTCAAAATAATGAGAAAATACTGGTTAGGTAACCCAAATAAATTGGGTTACGCACTCATTTTTCCAGCACATTTGTGCAATCCTGTATCACATACAATAAGACCGTCGGTCTTTTTAAGGACCGCAGTCTTTTAAGACCGATCGGTCTTTTTTCTTTTTTTTTTGCAAATAAAGAAATTTTTTTAGCTTTAAATTTAATTTTATCATATGAAGACCGGTATGAGGACCGGTCAGTCCTCAGGTCCGGTCCTACTGCGCCACAAAAAATGCAAGACCGCGGTCCGGTCCTACAAGTCATGGGACTGACCGGTCCAGGACCGAATAGGACCGGTAGAACCGATGAACATCCTTAATCGACTTCTTTAATTCATCCAACCTGAATTCCACGAGCCAAAATATGATCATTGGCATAGTCTTTCTTTGCGATCACCAAATCTGTCGTCCCATCTATTTCGAAAGAGAGCGCATGATAAAAGTTCCTTTTTTGATCTAATGTCATAAAAATCACTTGTAGCAGAAACTTACATTTGCCAACTTTTTTCGAATAATCAATAGGCCATTATTCGCACTAATTCCATGAAATTCTATCATTTACTTATGTAACTCAATAATAATATGTATATTATTTCGGGAGGTTGTATAGGAAATAAATTTACAACTTTGTTTGGGGAACAAATCTAATACCATTTAGAGTAACAGGGCGGACATCCTCATATTATCACATTATTGCCGATCATTTTGCCGATCATCTATTTTAATATTATCACATAAAAAATACCATTTTTTTGCAAATTTAACTATATAAATTTTATTTGTTATCAAAATTCATCCAAAGTCCGAAAATTAATGTTTTCAAATCCAAAAATTAACTAAAACCCAAAAATGGGCTGAATTTTAATAATAATTAGAAAATTAAATTATTTTAATGATATTGTGACAACCAGTGATTAAAATTTAATTTTTGTTAGTTTTTTAGATTCATCTCGTCAAGACAAACATTTTGATAGTAATTTCATAAAATTTTTACACTAAATTGATTGAGAAATTGCATTTTGAAAATTTCTATTTATTATATAGATTATAACAAATATAATTGCAAGTATAAATTTAGCCATAACTTCTTGATTACCTAAAATTAGGAATGATTACTTCGGCCATTGATTTTAAATCAGTTAAACTATGACCCATAAAAGTTTCAAGTTTCGGCCAAACTTCTGTGACTTCGGCCGAAGCTTTAAAGTCTGATATCACCCAATTTACTATAAGATCGGCAAATGATCGACAAGGTGATATAAGGATGTCCGCCCTGTTATTTAGAGTAGCCGCAATATCTACATTAGGATCACAAGGTTGCTCGAGTCGAAAAGGACGTTAACTACCCATAGTATAAATAGCCTTGTTGCAGTTTCATTGAATTCAGGCTCGTTCACTTGTTTAATTAACTTCTTAAGCTCATAAATGGTTATGTTATTTCCTGCTATGATTCTGAAATAACAATCAGCAGGTTTACCATGAAAAAGACAGTTAAATGTGATCTCAAATCCAATAGCCAACAGGAGGTGAAAGAGTAGCAATAGTTAAAGTAGCTGAAGTGGATGGAATAGACTTAATAGACTTCTTGGTAGTTGAAGTAGGATTTGACTAATTTAGGATTGAGGTTTAGCAGGTTTTTTTCCCTGACTTACAGAGAAATCTTTGTAATACAGAATACATTTCCAATTACACTGGGTTTATTATCAATTAATTAAATCAAAGTTTATAACACTAACTATATCATGGAATGTGTATTACTAGTTGAATATCTATGCGTAGTTAGTATGTCGTTAGTATCTATACAATTATGTAATTTTCAGCAGTTTACCCGTCTTTTTTGAAATAAAATAAAATAAACTAAACTAAACTAATTATGTCATGTGCAAAGTGACATATAAATCAAAGATTTTTTCTCGTGATCGTGTTAGGTTATTAAATAAATTCTTCTAAGAAGTTTCCTATTAGTTCATGTCCACTAGCTAGGCATGTTGTTAAGACTTTTGATGTATTTTTTGGAAGAGTAAAGATATCGCAAGATTTGAACGGAGGGTGACCAGAGATATAATTAATATGACAGCGAGGATAACCTACTGGAACTGGAGGTAAGGATTCCAAACACTTTCTCAGCATGTTCACGATTGCATAAATTTTCTGAAGGCTTCAACGACAATTCTTCAAACGTTTGATCATGGGGCCATGATGGTAAGTAACAGTACTAATAATAGCCATTCAGGAAAAACTCGATATTGATGAAAATGCCCTTTTATTGAAATTTTAAAGACCTTTCTATTAACAAAGTCAAAGATGTCTTTATGATTCCTTAGGAATCAAAAATGAAGTCTACTGGCTACATTTGTAAGTAGGCTAACAATTAGATTGGTGTGTTACATATAAAAAACCGGTTTTGTAATTTTAGGCTAGACCAAATCTTTCCTCTTTGTGTTTAAACTAAAATAAGTAATTTAACAAACAAACTTAATGGCAATCATGCAATGTTAAGCCCACTCCAAATCCTGATTTTTTCAAGGCTTAAGAATATCTATTGTCGAAAGAAAAATCTCTCACATCATTATCATTATATAACAATTTTTATTTGAAAATAAGGATATTTAATTTTTAATGTGTAAATTATTTCGAAATAAAGGCTGCAAAATAACGATCTAAAATTAGAATTTTTTTTTTCTCGAGAGAAATTTCATTTCACTCGACGAAAAAACTAAAAATACAGAAATATTTCTTTTTAAGGAAATAATTTAATTTAATTGGATTTTCATTTAACAATAGATAAAGTAATTTCATACCGCATTTCCCACATTTCATAACTTTTTGTGTGACATGTCAATAAAAACTTTTCGGTAAAGAAGTTTCTTCGCTTTGTTATGACTTATGATATTGATTTATTTGATATGTTCAATATTTTATTCTTCATTCACTCAATGAAAAAAAAATTTCTTTTATTGCTGGAGATAAATCTATGACACATTATTATTTATCTCTTTTAAGATTATGCCGCAGGAGGTGAAATACATATAAAAATCCCAACTTTCCGCTTTATCCAAAAGACAACCACATTAAGATTTATTTCCTCTAAATTTAAATAAAGGATATACAAATATATAAATATATACACATACAGACATACTTATATAATATATATACAACAAATATGAAGCTTCAATATCTTCTCTTTGCATTATTCACGGTTTTTGTAATACAAGTTCAAGCTAACGGAGGTTACGATGATTACGAGCAATGGGAACACAATTTTCCTGATACTTGTCAAGAACTTTTCAAAACTGAACATTGTAATGAATGTCAATCGTTAATGTGGAATCATTTCAAAAATCCTGGTCAATGTGCTACTGCTTTCAATCTTGGCCGTGATATTTTTGAAATTATAAAAGATTCCGGTGAAGAACCAAAACCTTATGATCTTACATTCTTTAAGAAAGGTTTAAATAAATATTGTCATGAAGAATTCCATTGTAGTCAAGATAAAGTTGAGAAGATTTATAATAATATACAAAAAGTCTGTAAACATGAATTAAGTGTTAAATTTGATTGGAGTGATAATCCTGAAAATTTTAAAAATATTACCGCTTACGCTGCTTATGGTACTTTGCTCACTTATTACACTGGAATTCCTGCCCGAGAAGCTCTTTGTACTAAAAACAAGCATAATAATGGTGAGTTGTGATTTTAAAGTACAATCTTATTTAATGTTCTTTAGTGTATATCTTAAAATGTAACATTTGTAACTCTCAATTATATAGATTTCTATAGTTTTGAATTCATTGAGAAACTCACTCAATGGGTAAAGAATGAAACAAACGCTGATCCAAAGGCTGTTGTGACCCACGACCTTAAATTTGTTATCAAAGGAAATGGAAAGAAAGTTCGTGTTCCAAAATCGTTCTTTTGCGATCCATGTTGGAGAAAGATAGCCCATATCTATGGTGATTACATCAAAGATCATAGATTGAAGAAATCTGTCGAAAAGAATATTTGGGGATCTTGTCATGACTTAGAAAAACTATATCTCCCACATTGCACTTATAAACGTGGTTTAGGTGAAATTTTGAAAGATAGAAGTGATTCTAAATTAAGTGAACGTAACGCAAATCCTGCTTTTGGCGTTTTAAGTCATCGTATGAATAAATTACATTCTTTAGCGATTTAAAAATCTTTTAGATAATAATCTAGACTATAGAGATGGATATTATAAGATTATGATTTTTTTAGATTCTTTTTAGACATAACTATTCTAATTATTTTATTATTAATAAGTTTATCATTTAAATCTTCCTTTTGCTCAATTGTTCACATTTTCATGAAATGTTATAAAATACATATAAATAAATTCGTTCATAATTTTTAATTTCATTTAACGCAGAAAAATCAATACTGTACACATTTTTATACAATTCATTTGCTAGGTGCTATATCTTTTCTATTTTAACTAAATGATTCGTAGTTTATTTTTCTGTATTATTCCAACTAGCAATAGCAGAATTCTTTTGTATTATACTTCTCTTGTTTTGACCTATCTTTAAATTAATATTTGTATTTGCTACAATAAAATCATCAGTATGAATTCTGGTTTACTTGGCACTTTCTAACTAGTCTAATAACTCCGAGAAGTTTATTTCCATGCCTTAAATATCAACACTTTTATTTTGTTAATCAAAAAATATTAATATAAGAGCTGCAGATTTAAATTTATACGAGAGAATATCGATCTAACTAATAACTATGCATGGTCGTAGCAAAATTTATTTCACAATAAATTTATTCGACTTCATTTCACTAAATTACCTGATAAAAATTTACCTGGTTCCATTTAAGATAGTTATCGGTCCTACCGGTCCTACTCGGTCCTGGTCCCAGGACCGGACCGCGGTCTTGCATTTTTTGTGGCGCAGTAGGATCGGTCTCGAGGACTGACCAGTCCTCATACCGGTCTTCGTATAATAAATTAAATTTAAAGCTAAAAAAATTTTTTTATTTGCAAAAAAAAAGAAAAGAAAAAAGACTGATCGGTCTTAAAAAGACTGCGGTCCTTAAAAAGACCGACGGTCTTATTATATGCGGACCGAAAGACCGCAGTCCTACACCAAGACGGACCTGTCCGTCTTTTTAAGGTGTAAGACCGTAGGACCGCGGTCTTTTAGGACCGATGACCATCAATTTACAGAAACACTATAATATAAAACCCTGAATTCATAATATACAAGCTCTTACTGGCTACTGCAACCCATTCACTTTGAGAGAGAAATCAAAAAAATACATGCTATATAAGTAATCACCCACAACTCGTCCGCGCCACAACTCGTCCGCACTCTCCACCCGCACGCTCCGCAACACCCACTTACATACATACCTTCTCCACAGTCCACACCCACTTTTTTAAGGAAGCTTCCCTGTAAAAAATCTGATCCGTGTTTTATCTTTCCATGTTTTTTCCGTGAATGTATCATTTTCATGGAATTTATAGCCTTAAATCATGGAAATTTTCATCTCGCTAACACGGATATCCGTGAATGTATCATTTTCACGGAATTTTTACGGAAGACACGGAGAAATAATGGAAATATTCGGATAAAAATTTTTTATAGGGCTTCCGCAATGTGTTTGAAAAATAATAGCTGATTTAAGATGATTTCATTTTTATGAATGTAATATAATGTATACCGTATAAATTTATTGACTTTTGGTCAGTTACCATTTACACTTCTATGTAATTTTTAACTTCCGTAAGCCTAGTAAGAAAGAATAAGTTCAGAATTTGATGTATATTTATTTGATTAATTGCAATAAATCCACTGAAATAGAAAATTAACATACTGTAAGTTGAGGTTGCAGGTAAAATTGGGGTTGCAGGTATCGTTGAGCTTCCTGATTTGCCTGACCACGTTGACTCGTTCCAAAATATCTACCAACTCGTTGAGTTTTTATCGGCATGCGTCAATGGCTTTTTCAGCCAATCAAAGGGTATGGCACGATATCTCATATGAAACCAATATTTTTATGTTCGATCAGGTTATTAATATATCAAATATCAGTATATCAAGATCTGAATGTAATTCAAAGTAGAAACAGTAATATTTCTGGAGTTCGTTTAAAAAAAAGAGGAATAAAAAAAGGGAGTTTAAATAGTCCTTTTTTTCGTTATAGTTCACTCCTTTAATTTTCTTGATTTATTAAACTATCGTTTTATAAAAATTTTAAAAATTCTACCCAATTTTATTAAATTATGTAAACTTTCTTATTGTCCATTTCATATTTAATCATTGTGGCAGTAGAATGAATGGTTCAAAAAATAAAATTTTATTGCTGTAGCAGGCATAACTGTAATTATTAGACAGGACAAGCGCCAAATTAACACGAGGCGCAGTCCGTGATGCAAAATCAGCCGCAATAGACCCCAAATATGGTTAAATTATAATTTAGATTTTTAATATAAAAATTATTTTTTTGATTTCTCTTTATAAACTATGTCAGAGATCAATATAAATTTTTGTCCTTTTGACGGATATTTTTTAGGTGACGAAGATAAATGTAGTTTTTGTGGATTTGATAGGTAATATGATAATTTTGAAAATTTTAAACTTTCCAATTTCTTCCTGTTTTTAAGAATTTTATCCTACTTTCAAATTTTAGAATTTTTGCTGCTAATAAAAATTGGGTAAGCTGATTTTTTTTTAAAAAAAAATAATTTTAAAAAATTATGCCTTCATTATTTTTACTTTGAAGGGCTCGTTGACGAATTCACCCACAAATAAACGTGAACCATGGCGTAAATTATTATGGATAAAACAAGATTATCCAGATAATTACGTAGATAGTACTTTTCTCGAAGAACTAGAAAAAAACGGTGAATGATGATTTTTTTTTTCGTTTTTTATCTTAGCCTTTAGTTAACATATATGTAAAAAAAAAGTTAACGTTAGAGCATACGATTATTGGGCCGTATTAAAAGAATCTTGCGTAATTTCACAACATATAAGCAGCATAGTTATTTTTATTGCAGTATTTATATATTTATATCTTGATATGTTATCAGCACAAAATTTAATCATAAGCGGAACTGTGTTCACTATAATTGGATATATTTTTTGGGATAAAAGTATCTCAAAAACTGACCCTTCTTATGAGTACAAAAGTAAGTTATTTTAGTTATGGCCTTTTTTAGGTTTATATTTATCTTTATTGGAAAAAAATGAGTATTGATAAACATTTTACTTAATTAAAATAAGGATGGAAAACTGCAAAAGGAGCAGTACTTTTTTTTGCAACATTATTATGTTTGTCACCAATTTTAAAAACTTTAACAAAAGATACAAGTAGTGATACAATATGGGCTTTGACTGTTATTTTATTTCTAGCCAATATGTTATTTCATGATTATGGTTCTGAAAATAGGACTAACATCAAGTAAATAATCATATTTAATTTTATTTTTAAACAAACTTTTTTTTTTTTTTTTTTTTTTTAAAAAAAAAAAAAGATATTAATTATTCTTTAATAGATTCCCTGGATCATTATCAACAAATGCTGCTATATTTTCTTCAGTTTTATTAGCTTCTAGATTACCTTCAAATTCTCATGTTTTTGGATTAATGTCTTTTGCTATTGAATGGTTTGCTTTATTTCCAATTTTCAGAAGATATATCAAAGTAAAATTTATTTTATTCATGAAGTTTTTTTTTTTTTTAATTGTTCAATATTTGTATTTCTAACATTACTAAATTTGTTTCAGAGCCTTTCAGTTGAATTCAATATAGCATTAACTTGTTTATTGTTTATGCTGGCTACTGTATTATTTTTAAATATTTCAAAAACCATTGTAATTCTTTATATTTTAGGCATTACTTTTATAACTTTTGTTTGTCCTTTTTGGTTAATTTGGATACAAAAATATAAAAAGTAAGTATAAATTAAAAGAATTATTTTTTTTAAAAAAAAAAAAAAAATCATAAAACCAATTGTTTAATCTTTTTTCTTCTTTTAGCGAGATTCATGGTCCATGGGATGAAGCTAGACCAAAAATTACAACATATTAATTAATTCACAATATAAATTAATCACTAATAGAATATCTTTAAATAATTATAATTACAATTGATAATTGATTCTTAATTTCTGTTACAATGTAAAATTAATAGAAAATAGAGTATGAGGTTACTCAAATCTGATTAGATAAAATTTAATAATTTATCAAAGGTTACTATACTTTCGTTTAAATTTTGAATTTATTTAAGAGTTTATTAAAGCTAGTATATAATTTATTCAAGAGTTTATATATTATAGCTAGTTATATTATTTATACTCAACATAATTTTTAATTCTTATAAAAAGTTTATTTGAAGTTTAAGTTGAAAGATTTCTATGAACAACAAACAATCACTAATCTTAAATGTTCTTCCCCCCCCTTCCTTATCATCGTCTTAGTCATCATTGTCTTTATCATCGTCATCTTCACCACCACTTTCATTTTCATTATTCTCATCCTCTTCATCCTCATTTTCTTCCTCTTCGTTATCCTCATCATTATCCTCATCATCATCTTCCTCATCCCGCTCTCCTTCATCCATTTCATTGTCATTATCGTCTTCCTTTTTAGTGTCCAAATTGGTTTCCTCATCTTTATCAACATCCATTGCTTCCATTTTAGCTTTTTGCTCTTTTGCAAAAGCCAATTGTTCTTGCATCATTTGATATACATATTTCCCCATATGTGTTACATCAGCAATTGTATATGCGTCCTCATAATCATCAACCTACATAATAATTTTTTTTTTTGTTTAAAAAAAATAAGTTATAATAATAAAAGATTAGACAATGTTAAACAATGAAATACTAATATATACCATCCTAGACGAAGGCCACATCTCATTAATTTTTAATTGCAATTTATCAGGACGCTCTAGTAATTTATTAAACGTAGGCGCCAATTCATAACAATTTTCAAATATAGATCGACGGCAAAATACGTATAGTCCTAATCGAGCACGAGACATTGCAACAATAAGACGTCTAACATCTCGTATATGACCAACAGTTTTTGTACGAACCAAGGATAAAAGAATATCTAACATTTATATATATTATAATAATTAGTATTAATTGAAAATAGTAAATTACTAAGTTACCGAAAGCATAATAATTACAATCATTTTGTTGTCCTTGAAACTTATCGACGGTTGTGACTTTTGCTGGACGCCCGAATAATGGATTCCATGAACACCGCTGACTCAAAACGTCCCTTATTAAAGCCTTCTGCCCATTGTAAGTTGTTAGAATTGTGATTTTATCTTCTGGATATCTATAATAAACAGATTAAACTTAAAACACTTTGATTTAATAATAAAAAGAATAATTAAACTATATTTCATTTACCCTAACAAACGCATATATTGGTATACTGCGACAACATATTCTGCCTCTCCAAGATTCTATAAAAAAAAAATTTATTTGTTAATCAATACCATATTAAAATAAACTAGCACTGCATTTATTCTCACCTGATAGAAGTATGGAACAGGTTCAGTTTCCCCTTTGTTCATAAATTCTCCAACATTTATTAATTGATAGTCAAACGTAAACCCAGCATTAGCCCATTTATATTCATCCGGCTCGATTACTGTTGGTAAATTTCCCAAATTCTTATAACGCCAATTATATAGTTCTGCCATGGAAGGCCTAGCACGCCCCTAATATTATTTATTGAGTCCAAAGAATTGATTAGCATAGTAAAAAAAAAAGGTAGCGATAAAAGTTTAAAAAATATACCTGAGAATCTAGATCAATGGTTGGAACACCAAGTTTAACAAATCTGGTGAATAAACTTTGTTCCATGTTTCCGTATTGTTGAAACGCCATGTTCTTCACTACAGGAGGTAACTGATTATGATCACCAATCATAATCACTCTTTTTAATCTACTTCGCCCATCTTCAGTTTCTTGTAGTAGCAAAGGTATAAAAGTTTCAACTTCTAAAATTTGTGCTGCTTCTTCCATTACTACATTATCATACTTAAATCCTAAAGAAACCAATTCACGTCGCTATAGTGAAAAATAAATAAATTAGCTTAATATAAAATCAATATAATTCAATAAAAATAAATACCTTTAGTGCGGCATGAGTGCATGTCATTGCAATGATTTTAGCTTCTTTTGTTAATAAATAATTAGCTCTATCATAGCTAGTCCTAAGTAATTCAAATCCACGAATCTCTTCAAGTTCCGTGAAAATTTTTTCTATATGTCGAAAACACCCCACTGCGATTTCTAACGTATCTTCATAACTTGCATCTTCGGGAAATAATGGCTGAGGTGCATCATAAAAATAGGCAGTAAAAGGAAATTCATTCCTTATTGTATCTACATTAACGTTCTCGTTCGTTAACCCTTGCCTACATTTATCAATGTAAGGCTCCCATCTCGACTGTACGTGATATAAATAAAAATACCCGGCGGTTTCACATGTATATCCATATTCACCACCAATTTGCAATGATTGAGCAAGTCGATCTACTTCCGAAAGCAGGGATAACCGTTTTTCCTATAAATTACAATAGCATTTAAACCTAAAATAAAAAAGGAGCAAACAACAAAACAATAATTACCAAAAATGAATTGACTCTGCCATATTTGCTAAAGCTTAATTCTGTATTGAGTTCCTCTTCACCATGACCCAACCTAAGTAAATGTCTCTCATCAACGTCTAAATTATCAAGATAAAAATAAACAATTATTAGGATAAAACTTATTGATTCTTTTTAGTATATACTATATAAAATGTAAATACCAAGTGCCATAATTTTCTCGAACAACTGATTCAGAGCTTGGTTACTGTGTGTAACCAATAACGTATGCTGATCAGGGAAATTATGATATAAATTTGCAATAATCTGGACAGCTACATCTGTTTTACCAGTACCTGGGGGACCAACAACCATCGTAAGACCCGGATTTGTTCCTGCTAAAATAGCGCTTACTAATACAAATATAATCCATTAAAATTAGCTAATATTACCTTTTTTTATTTTTTTTTTTAATCAATAATAATAAAGAAGTTTACCTTGTACGGGAGTGAATTTAATCGTATTCTTTCTAGGCTGGTTAAATGGATAAGGGCCCATGTTTGGTAGGCTATAAGTTCTGACAATTATCTGGTCTGGGTCCATTTGAGGTTGAGATGGATCTATATTTTCAGCATCCTCAACTTTCCTCTTTTTTGAGGTTGGGCCACCTTCAGTTATAGGAAATTGTAGAACATAAGGTGGGGGGATAGGAGCTTTGAAGCCTTCTGCTGGTACAATTTTCTAAATAGAAGTTTGCGTAGTTTTTTAGAACCATATTTATTTAACAAGTTGATAAGCGAACATTAGATTACCTTGTCAGGAAAGCTTTCAATCAAATGATCATAATTTAAAAAAGTATCTCGAAAATCAATTTCTTTAGGTCGATTTGGCATCATTGTATAGTGAGCACTACCAGGATGGCCATAACCTAAGAATATATTATGTAACCAATCTGGTACAACCAATTCACTTTGCATTAAATCACGAATTGTTTCAAGAACAGACTTAAAATTGTTTTCCTAATAATGTTTATAATAATTAAAATATAAAAAAGAAGTTAAGATATGTCGAATATTACAATAGTAAATCATAAATGAAATTTACTTTCGGCTTTCTTCTCATCAAAATATTAAAAGTTTCATATACGTCTTCATCTCTGACACTTGAATATTTATCCATATCCATCTAGAAGATTAAAATAAAAAGTGAGATTTATTTCTAATTATTTCTAATTTTTGAAAATTTTGAAAACTAAAATTACTTTGTACTGATTCGGGTCCAAAAACACACGAATTGTTCTTATATTTCCAGAAATATTGGGTTTTTTATCATCAATACGTGGCTTACCAACTTCATCAATTGGCTTGCCTAAAGAAATTATAATTTAATATCATAAAAGTGAAAGAAATTTTAAGATTGCAAATTAAATTACCATCATCGCCGATTATATCGCTCACTTCACAACCTCGAATGTATTTTAATCCGAAATGTTGTCTTTGAAACATAATTTTAAAATTAATTATTTGACAATAAAATGTACACGAAAAAAAAAAATTATGTATGAACGACGCAAACCTGAAGGGCATAGCATCATTATATTTTTCGGCTGTTCCATCGTGGGCATGTATTGTTAATAAGAACAAAACATCATGTTGTTTCAAAGAATCCCATTCATTACGGATGGATTCCGTATAACGACCTATGTCGAAAGAAATCTATAAAATAAAGATTACATATCAAAACAAATAACTTTAATAATTTACGAAATATATTATGACATTTAAAATTATAAACATACATCAGCCTTGACTCTTGAGGGCTTGCTTTCACCGATGTTCGGTTTAGCTACCTCTATTATACTTAAAAATTTTTAGACATAAATTAATGATTAATCTCACATTATTGAACGAATTACAAACACGTTTAATTCTTACTTAAATGTTTCTATCTCTACTGCCATACGAGCCCAACCGGTGAATTCAGTTTTACTCGATGGATATGTAGACCTTGGTGCTAATCGTTTTACAACATCTTCAATATCTTGTCGAATTTCATAAGTTGTTTCCATTCGAAATAAATTGAAGTTTCTTAATAAATAATCGTGGATAGTGAGAAATTGTAAATTGAGTTTAGGTAATGCAAGCGGTGCTTCATTATTCCAGAATTGAGTTTGCACAACGGCATCGTCGAATATAGCGTTCTGATGAAAAAAAGTATTTTAATTAATAAATATCTTTTATAAATCAACAAATTACCGGAATATATATTACTTAAACTAACCTCATCTGGATAAAGTGGTTTCGAATTTATTAAATCAATTTGACTCGTTCTCTTTTCAAATTTACAAACTAGCACCTCCACTAAAAAATCCTTATCGTATTGTCTTTCACCAACCAATTTATTTGTTCTTATGCTTAAAAATCCACATAGTCTTATTATTTCTTCATGAGTTAATGCATTAAAATGTTTTTGCAAGTCAGGTCTCCGTTCAATAGAGGCAAAATTTGATAATGCCAGTGATTGCAAAGAGTCCCTAAAATGTTCGAAAGCAATGTGCTATAATAAAAAAAAATGTTGTAAATCTATACCAAAGAATATATTATCAATTCAACTTCATAATTAAAAAATACCTGAAGATCAGCCAATTTTTTACAATGTAATTCTGTCATCTGGTCATCCGTCAAAGCTAAACCAGTATTATCATCAATTTCAAAACCAACATAGAATTTTAATATATCTAAAAGCTGCTTAAAAAGTTCACTACAATTAAAAAAAAAAAAAAATTAAATAAAATTCTAAAAGTAAATAAAATATCTAAAATAAAATTTATATTAAAATTTAAATTAACTAACTTTGCGCTATCACGCTTCATTATTGGCGCAAATTTGCATAATATTAATATATGGTGATCTTCTAATAATTTATTAAAATAACGTCTTGTTGGGAGTTGTGCTTCAAGGTCAATCAAAAATTCCAAACAACGTTCAAGAAATGCTATAACTTCATTGTTCACTTAAAAATAAATTGAAAATATACATATCATTTAATATTAATTCAAAAAAAAAAAAAAATTATATACATATAATTTTAACACTGTACCTCCTCCATCTTCGGGTATTGTATATAAAACTTCCACAAAGGCCTTCATAAAATTGCTTAACCATGTTCTCTCAAATATAATTTTTTCCTTTTGTGATTCATCTAAAAATTTAATTTTAGTTAGAACATTAAATAATAACCATAAAATACATTAATCAAATAAATACTATCAAAGTACGAACCAAAGAATCATAGAATACCTGCTTTTTTGAACTTTTTTGCAAATACATTCCACATCTTTTTTAAATCTTTATTATTTGCAAATTCCTGATCTCTCAACGATGATGTACCAAAACAATGCCACGTTACAAGTGACACCAATCTGCAACAAAAAAAACCAGATATAAAAAACATTCAGGATGATTAAATTAACTGAATAGAAAAAAAGTCTCTTAAACATACATCATACATTCTCCTCTGATTAATGGATTTTCTATACTCTGAAAAACACGAATTAGGAATAAAACTATATATTTTCTCACTTTAGGCGAGAGTGTGTTTGCAAGTGGTGGAATGGAAAGCTCGAGAACACGTTTGAAGAAACCTGGAAATTGTTCAGGGCTTTTCATAAAACAATCTAATGATATATTAATAAAGAAATGAGGCGAAATTAGCTCTTATTTGAATTATTAGACAAGCGTTTAAAGAACTTACCCCATGCAGCAACTCGTTCCCGAAACTTTTCATTAACCATCAATACGATTGACAATACATGAGCCAACGATGCTTCCGTATGTTCAAAATTCGGCCAAAGGTACTATAATTTTAAAAAGAATTAGTGATTGTTAATTGATTGTTTATAAACAATAATTATAAATCACACAATTAACTTACTTTTTCCAGATATTGGCTAAGTTCTAGTAATGTTAGTTTCTTCGGTTCAAAACCTTTCATTTCTAATTCCTCAGTATAAATTCTCTCAATAACAAGCGGATCCCATACTCTCTTTGTAGGATCTTTATTGTTCCAGTAAGTTTCAGCTAAATGAGTTATAGAATCAGCTTTCATATCTTGAAAGGTTGGGTAATATACCCCAGACCTTGTACTTTCAGTTGGTGGAGCATGTGGTGGTAAAGTCGTAAGACGCTCCTCGGTCGACATTTTTGTATAAAAACTTGATCAAAAAAATTGGTTGTGGATCAAAATAAAAAATTTAAAAATTTTATCCAAATTTATAGATTATATCACGTGATGAATTATTTTTGTGCAGTATTTCTTAATAAGGTTAAAATTGTGTCGCAAAAATTAGTTATGTAACGACATTTTTTTTTTTGAAAAGTTTTTTAGATAATCTTTCACTCTGCGATATGACTGAAGAAGAAGCTAGCATAATAGACAAAAATATAGCTAAAAAGGTATCAAAATATGTAAGACCAGCTGAAAGGAAGATAAGTTCTAGGCAACTCAAGGTAATTGTCTTATTTGCAAAATTATCGCTTTTGAGTAATGTTAATAATTACATTGTTTCATGTAGAAAATAAAAAACAAAAAGTTAAAAGGAACGCTCGATCGGATAGAGAAAGTTTCCAATGAAGCCGCCATTAAAGCAGCAAGATCTGAAATTTTACTTACCGAAGAGCCTGGGTAATTATAATTTTAGTAATATATGTGCAAACCATTCCTCACAAAATATATAATTCATTGAAATTATTTATTATTTTTTTTTCTTTTAATTAATTAATATTAATATTTTGATTCACAATAGATATCTTGAAGCTGAAGGTATTGAAAAAACATTTAACATAACACAGAAACAATTGAGTGAAAATGTGGATGAAGATTCTACGAAAAAGGTTTGTCGCTAGCTTATTTATCTAATTAATGTATAATATATTTATTTAATTTAATTTGAATAAAAGATTTTCGATTTAAAATTGCCAACATTTGGACCATATTCTTTGGATTACACACGAAATGGAAGGTAATATTAAAATAATAATCTTTAATTTAATTTTAAACATTAATTTTACAAATTCAAATTGTTTGATTAATTATAGACACTTAGTTATTGGAGGTCGAAAGGGTCACGTAATGAGTATCGATTGGATGGAAAATAAGATAAAAAGTGAAATTCATCTAAAAGAAACTGTGCGAGATGTCAAGTCTGTAACATTATTATTATCCCACATCTACAATTCATTCCCCTAATCCATTTTATAAATTTTTTTATAGATGGCTACATAATGAACTCTTTTATGCTGTAGCTCAAAAAAAGTATGTGTTCATATACGATCACAATGGGTTAGAAGTACATCGACTAAAAAAACATATTGAAGTCAATAAGCTTGATTTCTTACCATATCATTTTCTGCTAGTTTCTGTGGTGAGTATTTTAAGTTAGTGCGTTTTCACATTTACTAAAATATTAAAATAAATAAACTTTAGGGAAGCGCGGGATGGCTTAAATATCAAGATACTTCAACTGGAAAGCTAGTGGCAGAATTAAGAACTAAATTAGGTGGTTGTGATGCAATTGCTCAGAATCCATGGAATGCTATAATGCATTTAGGACATTATAATGGCACAGTTACATTATGGTCACCTAATATGTCAACTCCTTTAGTAAAAATGCTTACGCATAAAGGTCCAGTAAAAGCTGTTGCCGTTGATCATACTGGAAAGTAAGTTCATAGAAATTTATTTATTTATAAGAAAAAAAAAATAGTATTATTTATATGTTCTTTGTTATTAAAGGTATATGGCTACATCAGGATTGGATGGACAACTTAAATTATGGGACATAAGAACATACAAACCATTACAACAATATTACACAAGAACTCCCGCTTCATCACTATCAATATCGCAATTAGGTCTTTTAGGTGTCGGCTGGGGTCCGCACGTTACAGTAAATACCATAATATATTTTATTTAACCTATATCAATTTAAAGTCTAATTTTAATTTATATCGTTAGATCTGGAAAGATGCTTTTCTTACAAAACAACAATCACCTTATATGAATCACCTTCAAGTGGGATCACAAATACAGGATATACATTTTTGTCCATTTGATGATGTACTAGGATTGGGACATTCTTATGGAATATCTAGTATAATAATTCCTGGTAAATACAAAATAATATAATAAAATTATCTGAATATTTCTGATGTAAGCCATTTCTTTATTAATAGGTTCTGGAGAACCAAATCTTGACAGTTTGGAAGCAAATCCTTATCAATCTAAGAAACAAAGACAAGAGGCGGAAGTGCACAGTCTTCTTGACAAGGTACACCTAACGATAGCTTAAAATTTGCATAACTTTATAATTTTAATTTATTCTTTATATAGATTCAACCAGAAATGATATCATTGGATTCAACGTTCATAGGAAAAGTCGATGGAGCTTCCAAAGACTTATTAGATATGGAGCGTAACGAAGAGCAGGTACAATAATTATTACAGTTTATCATTTTTATGCTTATAAAGTAAGAAATTATAATTTTTCTTTTAATGTATATAGAAAGCACAACGTGCCAATGAAGAGAAATGGGTACCTAAAAATAAAGCTCGTGGTAAAAATTCATCATTGAAAAGATATCTTCGTAAAAAACAAAAGAATGTTATAGATGAACGAAAGGTTAGTATTATTACACAACGTTAGAACACTTTGTTTAAAAATTTATGCTTAAATGTTTTATATAAATTATAATAGTTGAAGATTCAAAAACGTATTAAACAAGAAAAGGAAGCACGTAGAAAACGAATTATGGGTAATGAAGATGATAAAGATCGACCGAAAGCATTAGAAAGATTTTCTAATAAAGAATTATAATAATATATATTTATATAATTTTGGAGTTCTATAATTTATTAGGAACTAGTTCGTTGTAGAGTGTACAGTACATATATACTTATTAATGACTTCATATAAAAGTATAATTAATATAAGCACCATAGAAGCAAAATCAAATAATTAATTAATTAATGTGAATGAAGGCTACATTAATAACAAAAGGTTACGTTTGGAAAAATTTTTTGATTTAACAAGAGTAATTTAATCGAATCGAAAATCAAGCAAAACTTCCAATTATTACCATAAATCTTTCATGTTACATTTAAAGTCAAAAATAATATGAAATAGTCTCCCATCGGCAGCAAAATTTTTTCAACGATAAATTGTTGTCATTATCTTCTCTACGTAATTATCCGCTTTCGGGAAAATTCTTATAAATTACGTTTTAGCCTCTTAGGAAAAATTGTAGGTACTCCAATTAACAATCTACTTACTATAAATTTTTCATTCAAATAATAAAAAAAAACGTGGGTTCCAAAATTAAAATTACTATGATAAAATTCACGTTATCAAATATGTTTGTCTTACATGAATAAACCGAAAGAAAATATTATTGTAACACTGCATTTAAAATTTGAGGTAAATATTATTTGTGGTCCGTGAAAATTTTTAATGCAGGAAACAAATAACTATTTTTAGAAATGAAAAAATTCACTATAAAAATTGAGGAATTTTCTTTTGTTGCTTAGCAGTTTTTGCAAATTTTTTTTTGCTCAAACTACTATTATAGAATTAACGAAGTCTTTTTATTTTTTCTATAAATTTTTAAGAAAAGAAAAAATAAAATAAAAATAAAAATAGAGTAAAAAAAATGGCTCAACAAAAAAAAATAATCAGACTTTGTTTTGCACTTTTATTATTTATTACTTACGTTTATGCAAAAAATATAACTGTAAATGTTGGTGGTCCTGGAGGAGTCTTAAAATTTGATCCTCAAAATGTCACAGATGCTTCTCAAGGAGATACAGTAAGTATATTTTAAAAATAATTTTTTTTTTTTTTTTTTTTAAAAAAAAAAAAAACCTTTATCAAACGACTTGCTAATTTTCATCATTTTTCCGTTTTCCTTAGATAGTATGGAAATTCTTAGGTGGAAATCATAATGTTGTACAAAGCGATGGGCTCGCTTCATGTGATCAAAGTCAAACGACCGGCTTTTGTATGTATTAAGAAAAAGAATATTTTTAATAGTTGAAGGCATTTATTAAGTCTAATTTTTTATATTTTTCTTTAACAAAAGTCCAATCTACGACAAATCCACCTACTGGAACCTTTCAATATACTGTTCAAGAAGCACAAGGAATACTTTACTATTTCTGTAGTTTTGCATCTCATTGTCAAAATGGTATGTGGGGTGCGATTTATGTCGGAGGTACCGCACCAGCTTCACTTACTGCAACCACTGCATCACCTACTTCAACTGCCGGTGCTTCAGCAGTTCCAAGTCAAAAGAGTTCCGCTGTTAAATTCGTTGGTGATTTTAAATTAGTAACTTCTGCCACATTTATCGTCCTTACTTTGATTAAGTTCTTGTTTTAAGTAGTAATATAATTTGTAGACAATAATTCTTTAAGGTTTATAAAGTTAATTTAATAATAATAAAATAAATTTAATTACCTTTTAATTTTCTTTCATTACTTTCTTTTTTTAATGAGTTATTTGCGATTTCCATCAATTATTGACCTGGCCCTAAAAAGATATTGATCAATATAATATCTATAATTTCTATTATAAATTTCATGATAATCTAACTTTTAATAATTTTGTCAACTTTAGAACATAATTCAAAATGGAAAGTTATAGTGTCAATTAAGAGACTCGATCTTTTAAAAGAAGCTCTTAGCCAAATATAATAAATATAATTCAAATATATAAGATCTGATTTTATTCATTTTTTATTAAAAAAAAAAAAATCAATAAGTAAATAATAACATATATTCTTACAAATTTAATAAGTATATAATAAAATAACATTTACGCAAAGAAAAAAAAAAAAATTATTAAATAAGAACTTCAAATATTTCATACGAACTTGCTCTAAAGTATTCAAAATCATCCCTAATCGGCACCAAGTAATTGGTTTGAACACATATACAATCTCTTTTTAAACTGGTTTGTCTTCCCAAAGTTAAATCACCACCACCAAAATTTGGACCATTTGAACCACTACGATAGATAGCTTTCTTCTCACATACTGGATTTACACGACTGTATCTATGATTGGTATGATCCTGTCCATCAGGAAATGAAAATATAAAACTATCTCTTGTATCTTTCCAACATTCCCCTCTTGAACCCCATCTTAGTGGATTAAATCCACCGAGAATTTCATTAGTACCTTCTACAGTTAAAATTACAAGTGTTGGACGAATTTCATCACATTTCCTGCCAAATATTTGAGAACTAAATCCATCGATACTACTATTCATTATAAGATTAAAGCCAAGACAAGATTTATTCATCGTTCTTCTTATCCATCTAGAAATTAAAGCAGCATGATTATTTCCTATTATATCAGAATCAATCTGTATCGAACTGTTCTGCCGAATATTCGGAGTATTCCAAATGTTTTGAATATTCTGAATGTTCTGAGCCGCTACATCACTATACGATTTTACTTTTGTTGTATCTGAAGAATGCGGTTTTGGTTCATCATTATTGATATATTTCCATAAAAGGTCTTCGTAAAAATCCGGAGGAAAAATTTGTCTAAAAGGTTTTACATGAGCATAAAATTCTTCCGACGTAACCGATGGAAATTTAATAAAGTTAATACATTGGCTCAATGTTTCTTTTAAACTCAAAAAATTTTCTTCAGTCCAAGTTCTTGGATTTCCATCGAAAGTGATTGTAGGATTTTGTGCAATTGCCCATGTTCTTACGTTATTCCAAACATCAATTTCATTCATACAATGATCCTCAAGTCTCAAAAATCTGATAATCATTTCTTCATCCAATAATGTAAAATCTTCTGATTCCAAAATTGTCGATGGTTTTTCGTTTATTCTTTCTTCAAAAAAAGTTTGCAGTTCTTTACAAAATTCTTGTTCTAATACACATTTATAAATTTGAACAAAACATTTTTTTGACCAAGTATTATATGACATTAAAAGTTTTTGTTCAATATATGAAACTAAATCATGTAAAATAAATTCATCAGCTGCAATAATTATATCAGTAAATTCTGAATAATTAAAATTATTAAGAGAAATAATATCCCCACTATAAAGATATTTTAAAATAAATTCAAATATTTTTGGTGATACGTTTGGTTTCTCAAATAAAATTTTTCCATTTTCTTCTTTTCTCCATTCTGTAGATAAAGCTCTATGAAAATATGGAGATTGTGCTCTAAGAATTATAGAATGTGCATTAAATTCTTTCAAATTTGGTTCTTGACCAATTTTTATAATTACATTATATTCATCCGAATCTTCGAGAATTTTTGCATAATTTTCTAGGGTAACATTCATCTTTGTTAGAGAACAAGGTCCTACTCTACTAAAAAAAATGGAGAGAGAGTGAGGTGAAAAGTTGTTCTCACACTGGTCACACTGGTTACAAAATCTATTTATAAGTAAATATTTATTGTTTCCAGGAGAGGATATTTAATATTGAATAAAATGATCTTTACCACTTGTGGTAAAGACTCTAACGGTTGAGCCTTCTATTGTTTCTTAATGCATAAAAATTCTCAATAAAAGAAATTATTGCTTATATATCATTTTATAATTTAAAAAAATAAATAAATTATGACCACTATTCCAATACGATCAGTCTCTCAATTTTTTTTAAATAATAAAAGACTTTGCGTTTTCTTGATTTGCGAATATAGAATATGAAGCAGGGGAGAAAACATATATGCAGGAAAAATTGGATAATGATGAGGCTGATAAACTCCGGATAATGATGATGCAGATGAGCGATCCGTACTACGAAATTTTGATCATATGTTTGTTAAATAACGATTATCACTTACAGTCTTACGTAATATATACATTGCCGTCTATAAATTTGAATGAGAAAGAAAGAGAATTGTTAAAAAGAATGGAAAGGATTTTTATGCTTATTGTAAGTAATTAATAATCTTTTCAGTATTTATAATTTCATATAATTAACTATATTATATGTTAGGAAAAAACGAGTTAGAATTTGTAATGGTACATTAAAGACATTTCAAGACTTAGAGATAGCGCAGTATAAAAATCCTTTGGTTTGTTATCTTACTTTGTTCTTTATTTGAAAATACACAGGCAATATTGATAAACCGGTCTCATAAATTCCATCAATAAAAATTTTATATATATCAAGAAATTCAATATATTAAGAATAAATTTATTAATAACCCCCAACTCCGGTTCAAATTGTCCGAGATTCAGTTTATCAAGACTATCTGTGTACAGATATATATATTTTTAACTGTTTAATTTCTAACATGTGACTTTTTTTTTATTAAAGAGATTGAATAATGATGGAGAAGCTGGATTAAAAAGATTTTGAAGAATATATATATATATGTATATATTAAAGTAGCTTATTATTGTAATTATTATTTTTTTTCTCTCTCTCTAAATTGATTTGTTGAATATTTATAATTAAAAATCGTCTCTAATAATTTAGGTTCGTGGAATAAATTTAAAAAGTACGATATAAATTGATCAAAGCTAACGGATTTATATCGGGAATCAGACAGATATATTCTACTGATATCAGTTCTGTCACCTATAAAAGAATTTGATGACGAATTACCAGAAGTCCACCCCTAAATTTGATGACGATGGATTATCAGAATTTCTTTCTAGCCCACCCAGGTGCAAATGCCGATGATATTTGACACACTTATGATCTTCATGATGCCAAAAATGACGAGGCCTTGAAGTGGTGGTGATAGCATATGAATATGTTCGAGTTTTCTCCGATAAGTAAGAAAAGATTTTATTTATAAAGGGTAGGGTGTATTTTATCCTTCAAGTTAGAAATATTCAGTAAGATGATCGGTATTAAACCCATAGTAGAGGTAATTGTTATGTGTTGTTGAGATTAAATTACTTCATCAAGTTTTCTTTTGAAAATTTTAAAGTTTTTTTTATTAATTTTTTTTCTTATAGGACTCCGGCCCCAAGACTGTTTCCTGAATCGCAGGTAAATTTTCACTTTCGAATATTTAAAAAAAAATTTGGCTTTTTTTATTAATTTGTTTTTTCTTTTCTGGCACCGGAATCCCAGATCAAAGTGACTTTAATTTCTTGATGAAATAAATTTCATAAGACTAATATCTATTTATTAAGGATATTAAATATATTATCATCTACGCCTTCCAACCATAATGAAATATAAATCCTCCTACTTTATGAGTTGCGATATGTTAGGTCATGGTAAATATTCGCTTTAATAGCGAAGAAGAAAGAAATCAACGATAATTCAAATAGTAATATGATGAACCCATCCGGAAGATAATTACACAAATAGATTATTTAAATTCTAATAATCGGTTTCATAATGCCGGCATATGCTGCAATACCTTTAAAAAAAATCTATTAAAAATAGATCTCTTACAATTGAAAAGAAAGAAAAGAGGTAACCTATTAATGTGAAATTTAAGAGACGCAAGACTTACTATAAAGTGACTATGTACTTCTATTTATTTTCCAATTAATAAAAAACGATATAATTAATAACTACGATTTTTAATATTACTTGTACCATTCACATGATTTCTGAAGCGAAAATTCGAAATTTTAAACGATCCGGTATGTCTAGAAAGCGTACGGAAAATGTACAATGTATCGTAATGTGAAAGATTTTAGACATTATCCAGACATTATCTGGACAATGAGGACAAAATTCCGGAATTCCTTTTGTATTATTTTTTGGTTAATAAATATTGCAATTCAGAACACTGTTTACATTAATTGAAGAAACCAATTTTAATTTCATTTTCACCAAATCAACTAAAAATATGCTTGTAACCTTAATTCAGAATATATAAGCCGCAAATGATTTTGCATCATTTATTAGATGTTTAGAGAAGATTTGTGACAAACTTGTTAAGAACTGTGATATTTCAGATATAAAGATCATAATTTTAAGGATAATTTAGAACAGTTACAATTACTTTGCTGTACTTTGTACTTTACCGCAAAAAAAAGAGATTTTTTAAATATTCCTATATCATTTATGGATTCTAACCGCCAAACTTTCATCATAATATAAATATTGAAAAATTTCGTAGGCACAAAAAAAAAAGGATATTACTAAATTAAAATTAAGGAAAAAGTAGATTAGATTATGTATAGTACTACATACAAAGAAAGGTAGAATGCACACGCTCTACTCTACACGAAGCCTGATACCCCACATTTAGAAAAAAAATTTTTGGTAGATCTAATAGAAACTTACTTATCTGATGGGAACACAAAATAAATATGCACGAGAATGACAATGTACTGCACAAATGCCTAACTTTTCAAGGAATTTCATACAAATACTTTTTCTATACGATTTAATCGAATGATGTTACCTTCGTATTGCCTACATTGTTATTTATGTAAACAATATCTCGTTATCAAATATATATAAACGGTTCCCTCGGACGATCGTATTTCTATTCCCAAATTTGATATTCCTGACGGTAAAAATAATATACCGTTTGTCACTTGTAAACTTCATGGATTTCTTGGTTTTGGACGAAATTATAGATGTACCGAATAGCCGGGATACTTATATTTTGGTTCGTACAATAACCAAGATATTTGATTGAATCCACAAAAGGAAAATCTAAACGGAAAATTTAATATGGAAATTCTACATTTTTAAAAAGACTAAAAAGGAATGTTCATAATATAAATAGTTAATAGTTTAAAGCCACAATTCAATAAATGCACGTTATACAATAGTAAACGCGCAATAGAAAATTGAGGATTTAATTCTTTATTTTTCTCCTAATAATATGATAAATAAATATATATATATAATTGTAATACAGTAACACCTCCTTAAGTGTACACCTCATAAATGCACGCAGTTTCTTTAAATGCGCGGTATGATTTCTTGATCTCAGCTATCCATGGATGCATATCCTCTCAAAAGTGTACAGGGTGCACTTAGGGAGGTGTTACTATAATAGTTAGTGTAAATAATAACAGATAACTTTTTAAACCATAAATTTTGAAAATCAACTCTTAAAAGGTAATATATAAACACCGCAGTAATTTTTTAAACGCGCTAATTTACGAGTCCGAAATATAATCAGATCAAACTGTCATGAATAAATAAAAATAATAAATGAAATTAAGAAATTAAAAAAAAAAAGAAAATTGAAATTTTTTTTTTCTTAGTTTGTAGTATTTTCTTACCTACTAAAATAAAAATTATTTATTTTAGAAGCGTATTTGTTCATTCAGAAGGAAATCCATTGAAAAACTCATTCATCATAAGTTTATCTTCATCTATTATTTGGCGAGGGAGTTTAGAAATATCGTTTAATGTTTCTTTATTGCTGAAATCTGCGTTAAGTTTAGCCTTAATTCGATATTTTCTATATTTTCTCCTATTCTGTCTAATTTCTGAAGATCGTGTTCCCCGATTATTAGGGACGTTTTCATTTGAATTCATTTTGCGTATATTGTTACTTAAAAAATTTCAAAGAATTATGAAAATTTTTATTTTCGAGAAAGTTAGAAAAAAGGAATCATACCTTTGATAAAAAAAAAAAGAAAGAAGAAAAAAAAAAAAAAAAAAAACATGTTTCACAGTTAAGTAAAATTTTACATTAATTTCTCAAATATTAAATACTCAAATTTTTTTTATTTTTTTTTTTGCATNAAAAAAAAAAAAAAAAAAAAAAAAAAAAAAAAAAAAAAAATTTTCACCTCGATATATATAAACTATTTATAATTAAACACTATTAAACTGTAAAAAGCAAACGTTACACAAAAAAGATAAATCAAGTTTTCCAATTCAATTTTGATAGAAACGGGGGATGTACACGGTAATTGATTCTTTGTTTAGCATCTTTGAACAAACTTAAAATCACTTGAATCACGTTTCATTAAAACATTACTAAAAAATGATAAAAAGTGTCGACTCTGGGTTGACTCGGAAATCGATTTGTCACGTGATCTAATTTATGTTTCCAAATTAATGGTCAATCATATGAAGATTAAGAAATTAATATTAACATTTATGGATTTATTTCTTATTACAACTTAATAAATCGAACAACTAAAAAAATTTTGATTTTATAAGTCAATATGGAAATATTATATTAGAAAATGGAGAAACCGATTTAGCAGATCAATGGCGCAAAAAGTTCTGGCGAATTAATTCTGACGTGAGATCAAAAAAAAAAATTTTAAGAGATGAGACTAGCACTTTCTTTACTTTTATTATTTTCTATAAAATACCAATAGAGTTTTTAATTAATCTATTAAAGGGAGAATCGGCCATCAGAGATAATAATAATTAATTAATTTACATCGAATATGATTAATTTGGACTATAATAAAAAAAGGAAACTTTGGGCGTTGTAAACAAATGTATGATAATTTGTAATTAAGAAACAAGGATAGAACAAAAGAATTTTTTTTTTTTTTTTTTAAAATATGAAATTATAAAATCGAAAAGGAACAGGAATTTCTAATATATTTTATACTAAATTTGGGAACTATGAAGAAGCTGTACAGAGGAGAGCTCGACGATTATATTATTCATCTCTTAGGGTATATGAAGTTTATTCTTTATTTCCTAATCCAGAGCTTCAAATATTTCGTGCAAATGACAAGGTTTCTGTTGATGCATTAATGAAAATCGGTAAAGGTGGAAAAGGTGATTTTACGA